AAATGTAAACAGAGTGAAAGGCAGAAGTGGAAAAACGATCCCTGTGTGGATAGAGTAAATGTTGAGGAGATTGAGGATAATGGAGCGTATTACATCCAGAAGTCATTTTAAAGACACCAATGGACAATTTTACAAGGTTAGATTTACTGTGTGTTTTGCGTGCGGAACCTCAGGACAGATTATAGTGATGGGTTTGTTTTGTTTTTTTTACAAGAGATCAAGTTAATTATGCCTTTGTGGATTTTCCTTTTCAATAAAATGAGGCGTAAACAAACTTTTTTATGACTTTTTTTCCTCTAAAGAAACAATCACCCAGTTTGGTTGCGATGTCATTGTTGATGTAGTTAATCCACCCACAAAAACAACAGACTTCACTTCTTCCTGTCGCTCCGGTCCCTTTCTTTTGTCATTGCATTCAGATCTCATTGCCTAATGACAGGCCAACAATGTATCTTGTATTCCCCCAGTGTTCTTGTTTGTAATTGGTTTTCAGAGCGCTCCCTGTGAAGACCACCAAGTGGCAAGAAAGTCTCATTGCCATTTAAAACCAAGGCTCTTCTCTCTTGGCTCCCATCAGGGCCACTGTGGTCTCTTTCTGTATTCACTGAACCGACCTCAACGAATAGAGGTATCACATTCAAAATTGTGCCATGTTATTATCCAGAGGAGTTTAACGAGGTCCTGGGAACCCGCTTTGTTCCATGGAAATCCCTATTTGCCAAGTTGTAAACATTACAATTTCCTGACATGATTTCAGAGATGTTTTGGGGGCACTGATCCCAAAATGCATTTTCTGTTTTAGGAAAGCGCAATGCAGTGTAGTGGTTTTCTCACCAGAGAATAAACAGCTCTGCCCACAGGTTTTTTCCAGAACTCCTCCACAACTGCAGCTGGCAGTAGATTCGAATGCTGATGAGGTGGATCAGTGGTCAGGGTTTCCCCCCCCGGAAACAGGTCAGTGTTACTGGCAACAGCTAGCCTTTTCACCAGAGAAAAACTGTACTGGGACAGTGTCATGCAATGGACTTAAATCAAAATTTTTATCCTCCGCCCCGTAGTTAGAATGGGTGATTTAAAAGATGTCCTCCCTTTTATCCTTGGTGATATCGTAATTTACTATCTGTTGTAGTATTTACGATCTATTCGAAACCCTTTCTAACATTGCCTTAAAATTAGGAGTGTCTGATATGGACTAAAGACCTAATATCTGATATCGATATCAACCAATACCGAAAACAATTTTTGGGAATGCCCCATTAAAGGCATTCCACAAATGAACAAAGTCTGTACAAAATGCATTTTTAAAGTGTCTTTAACAACAAAGACCTAATATCTGATATCGATATCAACCAATACCGAAAACAATTTTTGGGAATGCCCCATTAAAGGCATTCCACAAATGAACAAAGTCTGTACAAAATGCATTTTTAAAGTGACTTTTTGCCTCTGGGCCAAAGCGCCACTCTGATATGAACTTTTTGCAGATATTTGATTTTGTCCAAAGACCTAATATCTGATATCGATATCAACCAATACCGAAAACAATTTTTGGGAATGCCCCATTAAAGGCATTCCACAAATGAACAAAGTCTGTACAAAATGCATTTTTAAAGTGACTTTAACATATTTGGCGAAACCCAGGCATTGCGTTATCGGCTTTTCATTATCGAAGGAAAAATAACAATAAGGATAATCGATAACAGTTCTTACCAATATTACATAAAAATGCTAATATCAGGTTGAAAAAAGTTCCAGATGTGAGAATAATATCGACCGGCCGATATTATTCTCGCAACCTGCAACCAGGTGGAATGTCACACTTTACACTATAAAACTATTATGAAACATGGGCTGCAATTTCTAAGTACTTTGCAGGCTGATGCTTAATGTACAAGGCTGGAACCCTGCAGTATCTTGTGAATAACTGCAGATCAAAACAAAGAGTTCCAGTTATCTATCCATTTCCTGTTACTAATGCCTCCATGGCTGCAGATGAGTTACAGTAAAAGTCATGTCGGCACTTACAATACTCAATCATTGAAGACTTTTTAAACATATAATGTAGTTAACCTTCGACTGTCTCTGAAAATTCTAGTCCTGTCGTACAAACTTCATCAAACATCCCACAATCTAAAAAAAGGGCAATCGGGGATTTTAGACCTTCAGCCCATATGTAGCAACAGGGTAATGAAAACTACAGAAACTTGTTTTTGTTGTACAAAAACACTGGTTCATTTAATTGCTAACAATTATATTCAAAGTAGCTCTTTATTATTGTGAGGTTAAATGAGCCTCATCAGATATAAAAAGCAGGGAAATATTAAATGGCTTGGTTGAAAGATGATGTCTGCTTGGCTGCGCTACATGTGTGAGTGTGTGTTTGTTTGAGAAGAGACAAGTTCTAAATCAACAAGTTATTGGCTCAAGTGCCACACGGGGCTGCAAACCCTGGAGGACTTTCGCATTCTCCATGTGGAGTAGACGCTGGCTTGGCCTGACCAACTTTCTGGATCTGGTTCCTTATGAGTCCTCCTCTCTGAAAACCTAAACCAGACACTTATTTTCACTCCCTTTCCCTGGTGACAGCTTGACTGCACACCACTAACCTCAGGAGAGAGAGAGAGAGGGAAGGAGGTGAAGAGGCATCTGGCTACATGAGTACTGTGTCTCCTGGCTGGCTTTCCCTCATTCAAAGCAGACGCAGGGAGTCGGAGAGTAATGAACTCGCAGCTTGTGTACGTCTTCTGAGAGCTGCTTCCAGGGTCCCAGCTGTGCTGCCTCCCTCACTGTGAACAAAAACAGAGTCACAGTCTCAGTAAGGATGAAGTTTGTTTGGCTGTTGTAGATTCAGTCCACGATTACACCAGGCTAGGATCAGACCCAAAACATCCATGAGTAAAATTAGATGTGATCTGAAATGTGGTGAACAGGGGTTCAGTGAAATGAATAAGCCATTGAATCAACAGCAATATATTTCAATGTTTTCACTTTCATTTTCTTTAAAAAAAAAGATGTTTTTAAGTGAATGTAAACATGTTTCAAAGGTCATGTAGCAAACATGTTTTGTCCCTTTTAAAGAATATGCAAGTATTATTTTTTTTCAAGTTGCTTTTTAAAACATCTATTAATCATGAACTGCACAAAGTCACTTAAAATTTCATTTTAAAATGAACTTGTTAATTGGATTTACAAATTAAATGCACACAGAATGACAAACGCTAATATTCCCACTGTCAATCCAATTTCTCATTGCTCAAATACAGGAGCCCCCAACCCCTGGTTCGGGGACCGGTGTCAGTCCGCAGGTCATTTGGTACCAGGCCGCAGTGGGACACAGTGAAGAAATGTACTTCAGTTTTACTAATTTACTTCATTCGAAAAGAATCCAGTCATATCCCTTTACTTTTTTCATTAAAGATAATCTGACAATATTTCAAAATAATAGGTCATTCAGACTCTGATCCTTCAATGATGCCACAGTCCGCAGTACAGGATGTTACCGGCCGAGGTTCTTGGTACAACAAAGGTTGGGGTGCTCCTCTAATACATATTTTGTCATTTACACATATTGTAGAAAAATGTTTTTGTTTAACCGAAGCACCTCAAGCTTAAAATACCATCTCAACGCTTAACCTATATTTGTGAAGGCTTGTGAGGTCAGATTTGAGTTGCTTTGACATCATTCTTTACTTCTTTTGTGCAGAAATGAAGCAGCTTTACTCAGGAAATGTTCCACAGTTTTCATATTCTTCTGTCAGATGTGATGATGAAACTTTTTTTTATCACCGATTTTCACATTTTGGAAATGTACCTCAAAGCCATCATTTACTGACACTCACTCTAATCAATGAGTAATTGATGGTGTGTTAACAGTGGGAAGGGAGAGTCCTGAAAGTCCAGTGGTTGAGGGTTTTGCTTATGCTAGGAATTACATAACACTTTTATTAGATATCACAATTCAGTGTCATTTGGTTATTTTTTCAAGTAATTGCTAGAATTTCAGCTAGCGGATTCCATTGAACTTCCATGAGCCAGACAAAACTTCAGTCTCGCTCTTATCAGCCGTGCTGTGTTGACTTGCTGACACATCATCAATTACCCCAGATAACATCTATGCCTTCCGTCAGTGATGGATCTTCTGGTTTGACTCCAGTGCCCAACGTTCAACCTAGTATTAGACATGTTGCTCTTACCGCACCGCTAGAAAGCCAGTTAGGCATTACTCTGCGCATGGGTTGCAAGCCTGTAAGCATTCATTATCGGCCAGTGGAAATGTGTGTGCTTTGGATGCAGTCCACTGTAATTATCATCACATTGAATGTAGTGCTAGTTTGTAATTCCCTAAACTGTTTCTCTAAAGTTTTAAAAATGAGCGATCTACTGCCAAATGATCCGTGCGGAAATGTTTTGTGGGGAGACAAAGTCAATCTTTAAAATCAATACCATTTTTAAGGTAAAGTACAGTTAACGTGTAAAATCATGCAGCAATTATGAAGCAGTTGCTGGGTTTGCTGTTCTTCACAGTCAGGGAAAGAAAGGCAGAGGGAAGTCGACCATTTTTCAGTAATAAAGTCCAGTCGTAAATGTCACTTTGTGAAGAGAGGAAGTAAAAGCATGGTCCTTTAAAGTCCCGCGCTAATGGCCTGGCAGACAGACTCTACTGCCAAGCTATTACATATTGCAATTAGAGTAATTGAGTTCTATTTTGGGAAGTAGCTAATGAATAAAATCTTGAACATGTAGACATGAGGCCATATAAAAAAATGTAATGGTGACATTTCTTACACTACATAAGGTATTGTCGTTAAGTAATGTTGGAATTTAAAACAAAAGCTGTGAGTAAACTTCACTGTCTAAAAAGACTCCAATTACTGATTAGTTATGATCTTATATTGTCTACATATTATACTGTCATTGATTTCTTTGTATATACCAACAATGGTTGCTTTTTTATTGGTAATGGGTCTAATAATGACCTCTCGTTTTTTTGTATTTTCCAGGTATCAGATCCACACCGGCCTTCAGCACTCTATCATCCGAGCTACCCAGCCCAACTGTTTGCCCCTGGAAAATGTCACCCTGCCCCAGAAGCTCAGGGATGCTGGATACTCCACCCACATGGTGGGCAAGTGGCACCTGGGCTTTTACAAACGCGGCTGTCTCCCCACCCAGCGTGGTTTTGACTCCTTCTTTGGCTCCCTGCTGGGAAGCGGGGATTATTACAGCCACTATAAATGTGAAGGGCCTGGCATGTGTGGTTATGATTTGTATGAAGGGGAGGAGGCGGCTTGGGAACAGGACCGTGGCTTGTACTCCACTGTGATGTTTACCCGTAAGGCTATCAATATTTTAGCCAATCACGACCCCCACAGACAGCCTTTGTTCCTGTACCTAGCCTATCAGGCAGTACATTCCCCTCTTCAAGTTCCTGCCCGCTACCTCGAGCGCTACAAGGGTATTCCGAACTTGAATCGTCGTAAATATGCTGCCATGGTGTCTTGCCTGGATGAAGCTATCCACAATCTCACCGTAGCCCTGAAACGCTACGGTTACTATGACAACACTGTCATAGTGTACTCTTCAGACAATGGAGGCCAACCATTGGCTGGTGGAAGCAACTGGCCCCTGAGAGGGAGCAAAGCCACCTACTGGGAAGGGGGCATCAGAGCGGTGGGATTTGTTCACAGTCCTCTGTTGGTGAACAAAGGTACGAAATGTCGGTCGTTAGTCCACATCACTGACTGGTTCCCCACGCTGGTGACCCTGGGTGAAGGGACAATAGATGAACATCTAAATCTGGATGGATACGACGTGTGGGAGGCCATCAGTGAAGGCCTCCCATCACCTCGGCAGGACATTCTGCATAACATTGACCCCATCTACATCAAAGCCAAGAACGGCTCCTGGAAGGCTGGCTACGGCATATGGAACACAGCCGTTCAGGCGGCACTCAGGGTGGGCCACTGGAAGCTCCTGACAGGTGTTCCTGGTTACAGTGACTGGGTGCCACCACAGACTTTCTCCTACCAGCGGCTAGCCACTCGTTGGCACAACGAGCGCGTGCGTTGGGACCGGGGTAAATCCCTGTGGCTTTTTAACATCACAGCCGACCCGTATGAACGCGTGGACTTGTCCCAGCGCTTCCCCCACATAGTGAAAAAAATGCTAATGCGTCTAGCGCAGTACAACAAGACAGCGGTTCCCGTGCGCTACCCAGCTAAAGACCTGCGTTCTAACCCTCAGTACAATGGGGGCGTTTGGGGACCGTGGTTCAAAGACGAGAGGGAAAGGCAGGAGGAGGAGGAGAGAGACAATCATTTGTTCAACAATCACATCGGGCACCGTAGGTGGAAGAAGAAATCGAAGAACCGGAAGTTGAAACGGAGGGTAGAATAATGATTTGCCCCATTTGTGAAAGACTATAATTGTATTTTCTCAGGGATTTGTTAGAACATTGAACTCTAGTTGTGCTTAACGTCGCTCACATTTTATACTGTACAACACTCAAAAAAGATGGTGCTTTGGAACCGCCTGAAAAAAAAAAAAATCCACTAGTTCAAACACTACTGTTATGCCCAGACACAGCTAAAACCTCATGCTATTGTTGGGGGCATTTAAAGAATGTTTATTTTTCTAGATTGTGTTGCATGCTTGAACTCTTGTCACCCTTGAATCGCTCTGTATTCGGGAGTCCCGTAGAGTAGATCGGTGTTTGTTGACGGTTGCCATAGATTTTGGTGACAGAAATAAAGACGTAGTTCTATAGTGTTTTGTTGTCTTCGGTCTCCAGACAGATGTAGGATTTATGTGATATGTGAATTGATGTGTGTTGCTTTTTATAGGCCTGAGCTCAAGAATAATAGGTTCGGTTTCCTCTTTCATTGACGTCTGGTCCGGCACCAGGCCAACCTGAATGTATTACCAACTGACGGAATAAAACTCAGACGCGTAGGATTCCTCGACTCTCTCGCTATCTTACAAGCTCTGTCTGGCTTTTCTTTCCAGATCGAAAATACCCACGTACCTAGACTTGATTTATCATCTTAATATGCTGAGATATGTCCGTAAAGAACATACATTGGTGGAAAATACCACGTGGTGGGATTTTACATGTGATAAAGACGTAATTGCTTTCATCTCTTTATCACTTTTGGTTTGCGGTAAGTGATTAAGCTGTGCTGGGAAAAAAAAAATTGAGTTTTTTACTTGAGGTGAAAAGTTGAAATACAAAATAGCAAATGCTTTGTGAAGGTAATTCTTTTCTTCTTTGTTAAGATGGGTTTTACCCCAGGCTGGACCGCCTCAGTGTACGTGTACCTGTGTATTATCCAACTGGCAGCACATGAGTATTCGAGACTGGTTAGCAAGTCAGAAATGGATCCCGGGCCTGCAGCTCACCGTCTCCACCGCAGCAGACATCAAGACCGATCTGGTAGACAAAGGCGTCCTCACAGAGAGCAAAGTCATTATCGTGTCATAGTGAAGACAAAGGATTCCCTGTCCTTTTTGTTGCAGTGGTAAGTACACACAGAGAAAAGACAGTTAGTGTACAGTTGTGGGCAAAATGCACTTATTATAAGAAAAAATGCAGTATATATTGTCCATCCATCCATTTTCATCCGCTTACCGGGTCACAGGGGCAGCAGTCTCCACCCAAGTCACACTGCACCGTACCAACCCCCCTGAACCTTCCTGTGGGTGGTGAGTCCACTGGAAGGTACCAACCACCCTAACTGGGATTCGATCTTGCCCAGAAGGTAAACCCTGGGGTTCCACACCAATGACATTGCCTCTGGGCCAAAGCGCCTCTGTTTTTATGTAATTGGAGACATTGCCTCTGGGCCAAAGCTCTATTGTTTTTATGTAATTGATGCTTGCAAAAAATGTCAAATTGGTCTAATGTTTCTGTTGTGCAGTCAACTGCCATGCTGGTTTATCAGTGTGTACCTTTTACACCATTGGGATTAACTGCATGATTTTTGTGATTTTTTTTTGTGTGTAAATATTCTGGGTTAAAGTTAACTATATATTTTCAATTAAACACATGTTTAATTTTAGAAGAACAGTATTTAGAACAGTACCATAGTTTTACGGTAGCTGCCAATATATCTTGCTCAGGTGCCATGCTCAGAGCACCTCAGTGGTAACTTGGCAGCTGGTGGACTTGAACCTGAAGCCTTCCGGACCCAAGCCTGCTTGATTAAGCCACCACTGCCCCTTGTAGCAGAAGTGTGTTACATCTGCTCACCAGAGCCACCACTGCCCCTTGTAGCAGAAGTAGCAGAAGTCTGTTACATCTGCTCACCAAAGTCAGAAGTGATTGGATCTACTTCAGGACTCTCCAACAACAGAGGAAGTAGAGAGAGAGATGTTTGAAAAATTAGATTGTTTTTTTAAAGTGGATGAAGGATGGATGGATGATCTATCAATGGATGGGTGAAATGATGGATGGACCGATGGATGCACAGACAGATTGTTTAGTCCTGGGGTAAATATTGGAAACACTATTTACAGTCATCTGTTACTTGTTTCCATCCAAAGTCTCTTAATCGTGGACCGCTCTACATCATGCGGTATATAACGCACATTTTTACTGCTGTTGTCGAGCTTATTTTATACATACAGTAACTCGTGGATAAATCATTTTAATTGCAGTCGGGTCTCCGCATTTGAGCTGCCTGAAAAGGGGATATTAAGACGAAGTAACCGCATGAGAACGTCACGAACAAGCAGAACCCTTCTTAGCATATAATCCCATAAATATCATAATTTACTGCACCATAAACTGCGAGTAATGTTTTTTCTTTTGCTTTTTTATTCGTCCTCTTTCAAGGACTTTGCATGGATATGCTAATTTACAAACTAAAACGTTGCAAACAGAACTATGCTATAATCACTTTAGCACGGCTACAATTTGTTTTATATACGTCTGTTGCTTGGCATCTTTGTAAACAAGTCCCCGAAGTCAGTGACAAGAACGGGTCGCGAGTTTAGCCTACAAAACCACTTTACGGGCTGTTTAAACATTTGAATGATACTAAATGACTTCTAGATGTACTGTAGTACCAAAAGATTTATAGCTGCCTGTAAATGGAAACATTCTCTTTGTATCCTACTCCATCACTCGTCTATTTGTCTTCGTAATTGGCCAACTACAAACAGCCTGCAGCGACGGTGCAAGTGGGAATGCTCTGGATTAGTTACGAACATATGAACCGACTGGAGCCGGGACGCAGGAGGGGTTTTCCCATGCAACGAGTGCCGGGCTTCACTGAACATCCCTCTCATCCATGCCTGCTTTGATCCCCCCTGTCTCAGTACTGTACTCGGGGGCCAATGTTATGACCTCAGACTGTTGCACTGGTAGCTTATATTGTTAAGAGAGGCGTCCCGTATCCTTAACTCCTTTAAATCCAAAACAGGTGAGGCATAGTCTGCTAAATCGATCAATAAATGAATTTGGCGGCTGTACCGTAGAGAACGTACCCGAGTCATGTGAGTCAAGTGATCCACCGTGAATTATAGATGATGAAAATTTTTTTTTCATTGTATGGGTCTGAAATCCCTTTCCCATGGGCCATAGGAACAGTTAAACCCTGGATTCCCTGGGAATTCACATTTGCTTTCAGTTATGGGCATTTGCATCCCGCTTATGGGAAAAAAAAGCCCAAAGTTGTACCCCCCTCCCTAGCCTTGTAAGTGAGCTGCGATACATCAAGCTGCCTCACATCAAGAGCACTCATTAGTGCTTATTGGAAATGATAGAAGAAATAAACCCAATACATGGTTGGGCTTTGGAGCTTTGATCAATGCGGAGAAAATAAATACATCTCTCTAAAGTTTTTTTTTCCTTCGGCTGTAGCACTATGTGAATTGTATACTTTGCGTTCTTGTGTGATCTAGGTTATGTATATTAGCCAAATTGAATGCAGCCAACTGAAAAAAAAATCTTCCAATTGAAAAACCCTCACGAGCAACTGTCATACAGAATATTGCAGATAATAATACGTAAAATATGTGGAGAACTCCCTGGATGTCAAAACACATTGCAATGCATCCACTTGCATGATCACACTCTGCAGAGCTGTGAGCTTTCAACAACTTGGCAGATGGGTAACATTCCATATTGGAAAGGTCATCCAGATTTTTTTTTTTTGGTTCTTCCCTTTCCCTTTCTCAATGATGTACAAGCATGTGAAACAGCTGCTGTCATGTTCTAGTGACATCATGGGAAGTCCTGCCAATGATACGGCCCAAAAAAAGAAAAAAAAAAACCCAAACTTTCTTCCTACCCAAAATGCAAGCGAACACGTTACAGCACAGCAAGCTAAAACAAAGTATACAGTGTACTACAGTTAGTAACAGCAACCCAGGGTATTGACAAGGAAGACGAGTCTAATTGAGTTTGAGTGAGTTCAGAGTAAGTAAATTATCTTTATGGAACATCTCTGGTACTCCTTCTCCAGAAACGGGGATTTCCTGCAATTAGCAGTTGTATTCATGTGCAACTGGAACTTTTCTTGGCCTTTAGCCGATGACTGACTCTCCCACATTGTGACATCTGACCCAGTTCTTCACTTACACCAACCACTCCCTGTATATCTTAATATTCCTCATTCACCATTAATAATCTCACGTACTTGGCCGCAATCTCCGTTCTCTTCACTACAGCTACCATTCAGACACTTTCCATTGTGCAACTGTCATCATTCCTCTTCACTCGTCTTCTTTCCCTCTCCCTCTCTCTATGTTTTTGCTCCTGTCAAGTCCAGACCTGCAGGGGTTTGGACTGTTTGCCAACTGCGTTCGAAAGTCAGGCCTTGGATCTTTCGCATACGTGGTGCTGTCCAGGGTGGTGCTCGGCGTCCTTGTCCGCTTTCCACCGTCTCCACCTGCCAGAACTCTTGTAATGTGATTCGTCACTCTTACCCCGAGCCCTCCTGCAAATTGTGTCGACACATTTTCCTTTCCACTCTCTTCACCAAAAAGTCATTGACGCTCAGCTAATAATCCAGCTGTGCCGCAGTTTTATTCTGACACGCTGCTTGCGGACTCTTCCAAATGTAGTTTGTAACAGGAGAATAATGTCTCTGCACTTTGGACGGTTTAAAACGTCATGTAATAACACTCAAAATTAAACAATGTAACGTTAAACTATAGAGCATATGTGTCAAACTCAAGGCCCCGGGGCCAAATGCAGCCCGACGAGTTGTTCGATCTATACAGTCTTCCATTTGCAACTGTCCCTTAAAGGGGAACTGTATTCCTGATGTGGCCCCCGGTGAAAATGAGTTTGACACCCCTGGAATAGAGGATGTTCATTAGATTTTAGCTATTGCTAATGTGAGCGCCCACACAATGCTAATGTTGTCAGTCAGCTCCACATTACTCTTTGGTGTATTTTATATATTCAATTCAACATTTTTTGTCACCCAGTGACAACTGCCACTATAACAGAATTCAAATATTGAACAGTGGTTCTTGGCCCCCGGTGAATTGGCCCAGAGGCAATGTCTCAGTCATTGGTGTGGAACCCCAGGGTTCACCTCCAGGGCAAGTTTGAATCCCGGTTAGGGTGGTTGGTACCTTCCAGTGGACTCACCACCTGCAGGAAGGTTCAGGGGGGTTGGTACGGTGCAGTGTGATTTGGGTGGAGACTGCTGCCCCCGTGTTCTGGTAACGGATAAGTGGATGAAAATGGATGGATGGATGGATGGATGGATGGGTTCTTAAGTGGGGAGCTGTTGCAATTAGGTGCTTGGAAAATTACACTGATTTGTCATTTTTTGTCTTTTGTTGAATCAGAAAAGCAGTTTTGTAACTGTAATTTAGGGCACATGTATTGCTTTTATGCAAATGATTTGGTTCCTTCATGGCTTGAAGGTGATGTTAGTGAAATGCTTTGATTAGATAGATGGATGGATAGATAGATAGATAGATGGATAGATAGTTTATTATTATGTAATGACAATAGTTTGAAGCAGTAAAACAAACGCACATCAATAACTTTGTGGGTTTTCAGCAGTTTGAAATTGTTTCAGAACACAAGTTCCAAATGAAAACAACATGACATTAAATGGTGTTTTTTCTTGAAATGCAGGTTTAATAGTTGAGAAGGCGGAGGATAGGGTTAGATGACCCGCTGTGGCAACCCCTCAAGGGAACAGCCAAACCAAGAAGTTCGGTGAGT